TTGATAAAAAAAGCAGTTAAAATTAGTTAAGAACAATCAATATGTAAAAAGTATAATTTTTCTCCCAAAAATGTCCTCATTAATAAGGAGAGAACATGAAAGAGAACAATTAAATTATTAAAAGAAAGAGAAGTGGGAGGGAGAGTGTATGTGAATTGGAGACAAAATAAATATGGGTAAAATAGAAAATCAACACAAAAAAGTAGAGACAACTTTTAAGTGTCTCTTATATATAGAAACATGCTATAAGCATCAAATGTCTCTTATAATAAGAAACGGAGGGAGTATCTATCAGTGGGATCTGGGAAACATAACCCACGTGGTTGAAGATATCATTTGTCAGTGAGGTCCTCAATGGTGATGGGCTTCTCCTTGGAAGACGCACTAAAGTGAACAAGACGTGCGCTGGAGGCGAATCGATTTGGATTTTTGAATTCATACTATGTGATGACGGTTAATGTATTGTACTTTTTAGAATCAATTCTAACCTCCCTAAAAAATCTATTAATTGAATGTATATTATTTAATAAAATTTTTTAACATGTACAATTATTATAAAGACTATTTTAAAAAAATAAATAAATATAAAAGACAAAGTGAATTGATTTTTATATTTGTGACCAAATTAAAAATAAAACTAGTTTTTATATTAAAGACCAGAGTTAGTCAATTTTTGCTATGTATAGGTGTCTTTTTATTAAAAGCAATTCTATTTGAGTTATTGTTAGGTACTAAATATGAATGCCTCTATCAATGGATGTTCAAATTTTAGTTCGTCACGTTATGAGAAACTAGTCATTTTCGTTAGATCCAACCTTTGTTGGTGATCGGATATAGTAATTTAAACACCCGTAATTGAGATTTTTTTCAATACAATAAATTTTTAGGTGAGTTGGGTCTTAAAAATTCACTAGGATCGGGACATGTCTCCAGGCACTCATAATTGAAATTTAACAATGTGGAACAAAATCAGGCCCATCCACATGATATTGGGTCCTTTTAGATTAATAGTAAAAAAAAGTAACTTATTTTTAATCTGACTTTTAGAGCAGTGAGTTTGGATAAAAGTTAGATTGAGTGGCGTCTTTGCGCTGGGATTGACTTTTATAAAAATTAGTTTGTGAAGTGAAAAAGTTGTTTAGATTATGATTAAATAAGTTTAGTTTATAGAATGACCAAAATGGAAATAACTTTTACTAAATAAATATAACTTTTATTAAACTATGTTACGTTTAATTAATATAATATATTTAAATTAGAAATCATATTAATGTGAAAATTTTTTAACCAAATAATAATACATAATTAGTTGGATAATGTACTTTGTATAATTTATGTAAATATAGAATGAAAATAATATTAAAAATTAAAAATATTATAACAGTTGTTAAAAATTGTTTTAGAATATTAAAACAAATAACTAAAAACTAATTGGAAAGTACAAAGAATATACAAAGAGAAACATAAAAAGAACATAGATATAAGGATAAAAATGTCTTTTAATTCTAAAAAATTACTTTTACATAAATCATAAGTAAGCTTTAAATACTTTTGCAATCGGTTTAAAAAAGTAGTTTTTGACTCATAAGTCAAATTGATAAAAAATTATAACAAACAGCTCCTAAATTTATAAACTGACTTATCACACTTATAAGTTATTTTTTTCCTCCAAAACTTCATGCCAAGCAGGCGTTGGTATTCATTGGGAGTCCACTTTTTCGTGTTTTAATAAAAAGTACCACTTCTAATAGGTAATATAAGAATTCATTTGATTTTTATTTTGATTTTAAATATAGGATCCTAATTCATTTTATCTCTCACATTTATCTATTTTTTTTCAAGGTAGTCTTTATAATAATAGTAGTTCTGGCCAATACACTTAATTAGTAAGAATATTTTAAAAAAGATAATTCATATTTATTATAAATAATTAAATTAAATAATTTTTTAAATCCAGTTAAATTCCCATGTCAAGGACCAGAGGTGATATTACTATTAGGACGATGTGGATGTACAGCAGGACAGCTGATGATAATGGATGGGCCTAATTAGTAATTACTAATTATTACTCGTATTATTATCACCATCATCAGCATCATCTTGGTAAAGTAATAAATAATTATTGATGGTAAATTAATTTGACATTTTCCTTTAGCTCCGAAGAGAAGATATTTCTCTTATAAATATTTTTCATCACACACAGATATATATATAAATTAAAACAAAATTGAATGAGATTCACTATTATGCTTATCATGAAGAAAAACTCAGTGAATTGATAAAAATTAGTTAATTTAATTATTTATAATAAATATGTATTATTTTTTCCATCCCAAAATAAAAATCTTAAATTTTAAAATAAGTTGAAGATTTGTTAACAACAACAATAGATAAGAATAGTTAATGTGTAATAAAATTCATTTGTTGATTAAAAAATGAAGTTATTTTAATTTTATTTATTTCAATAAATTATAATTAAGGTTATAACATATTTAACCTTACCAAGAATATTTCATTTATGAGTCACGGATATTATACGCAAAGTCTAGTTCTTATCATTATATTACTCCCATTTCCCAATCACTGCTTCTGTATAGATTTTTGTAGGTCTAAATAATTAGTGGACTAACTATACTACATATAATTTTCCTGCCTCACATTCAATACTTCTATCAATACAGATTATATCAAAGAGTAATTTTTTTATGGGTATTAGTTAATTCAGCATCTTGATGTAACATTGTAAAATATTTTGGGATTCATCCTATATTCTAAAGTATTTTGTAATTCATCTATAAATAACTAATTTAACAAAATTTTTAAATATACTTAAATTAATTAACTAGCTCTTATATTAAGGATCAGAGATAATAAAAAAAAAATTATTTTATAAGAATTTATATTTTTATTCCAATACTTATACAATTTTTATTAGACTTTTTAATTTTGCTCTGTTAGCACTATGAGCTCCTATATAGAGCCCGATGATGGTAACAGAATAAAATTACAGGTACAGGAAATAGTGATACTAATGTAGCAAAATTAAAGAATTTAATAAAGAGGAAAAAAGGTATAGGTATTAAATTAAAAAAAGGGAGAATCCCAATTAAAAAAAATTATAGCTATCAAATTGATAGAAAATATAATAAGTACTTGCAGACTGATTTTTTAAAAAATAAAAAAGTATATTTTATTTATTTTTAATTTATATCTTGGATCCTTTAAATAATGAAAGGCCAGTTCTTATCCAATCAAGTTTTTGGTCAACATGTATTCATACGAACCATCCCTCTTCTCAAAATTCAAAAATCCATCCCTCAGACTTAAATTCCAAGCTATCTTTGCGCCATATCTCTTCATAACTTCCCTTACAAGGATAGTCTTGATATTTTTCTGTGATCTCTTCAACAATCTTGGCTTCTACAGAATGGAATCAATCTGTTGTGATACGTTAAAAGATAAATATCCCCATTTTTTAACCTTATCCTGCCCGTAAGAATGCTTCATGAGGACTTTTCCTCCAACTTCTGGGCCTTTTGCTTACAAATTTTGCATCAGCCCAATCAATAACATCATATAATTACCTTCCAGATCAGTTGCAGACAAAGAGATGTGCGGGAGGTAAACCGATTAGGTGTCATTGACGTGAAAAAGTTGTCAATTCCTATATTGTAAAAACACCATTTTTCCAAATTAAATTAACTTAAATCAAATAAATTGATAAATTTTACATGTTGCCTTTCTGTATATAAAAACATATTTTTTTTAGCCAATGACATTTTTAAACTGAAACTTTCCAACCACTTGCTTAATAAACACACAGCTCTTATCACTTACATATATAGGAATTTCGTAATTAACTTGCCACCACTTGAATTGAAGAATTCTCCGTTTTCATGAATCTCAAGACAAAAATTTAATTCCAATATAAAAAAATGACTCTCTGATATAATCTGCATCCGATTTAAGTAATGAACATATGAAACAGGAAAATTATATGTAGTACAGTTAGTCCATTAATTGGGCAAACCAACACAGTGATGACTTCGTTGGCCACGCAAGGTTTACTTATCTTACATTTATACCTAAAATAATAACACTTTAACCAAAAGTACGTAGAACATATATAGCTCTCCAATTTTTTTTTTTTAAAAAAAGAGTTAGACGTTAATGGGAAATGGGAACCAATTAAAGATGTGTGCGGGTGTGTGTGACATTGACATGATGATTCGGTAGAATATCACGATTAGGGATGGTATGATAAATTAACTTCCAAATTATTAAAAGCAATTTGCTCCCAATTAATTAAGGAGAGAAATTACAAAACGAATTCAGTACTGTTCCGGTATGATTGATTGGTTGCACAGTCTAAAAGGGAAAGGGAGTTCTTAAGATTGATGTGGCTACTCTTGGAGAATAGAGAGAGTATGGACCAATGACTGGCTCCATTACATTGGACTCCAACTAAAAGGAATATGCAGTGAGAAATCTGCAACATTTTCGTAAGTTGTTTGATGTTGCAGATCCTAAGAGGGTGGTTTGATTGATATTAAAAATCCATTCCCTACTTGTCACTTCATATTACAGATAATAACATGTACTCTGTATTTTCCGTTCTTGGGATTCTTGGGAAGAACGCGTACAGGTGAGACACTGAGACCCACCAGAGTCTTAATTTCTCAACCTCCAGCACAAATTAAAATAGGCTGCTCTGCTTGTATTTATTAAATACACACAATTCAATGCCAGTTTGAGGCAATTTAATGCCAGTCTGATACAGTTATATGCTATCCTCAATTTCATGAGAGGGATTTGTCAGCAGTGGATTATAAGTAGTAGGGATTTTGTTGGGTTATTACCGGATTAGGCTTACGTCTAACGTGCTAAATGATAGTAGTATACTCAGACTAGCTAGACCCATTATGCTTCATTAATTTTATTCATCCATACGCAATACATATGCATGATAGTTTCAATAGTTCAAACGCATCACAAATCACTTAATTTCCATCTTCTTCCATCATATGACCATCTCTCTTAGTGACCCGAACTTTGAGACCATACTTCATTAGAAGCATTATTGAAAGTGTGGGATAAACAGGATGATCTCCCACCACTTGGAAATGATAATTCTTTAAGATATCAGTAGCCATAATCTTCATTTGAATGAAGGACAGGTCCTTACCCAGACAACTCCTTGGCCCTGAGTTGAAGCTGATAAATTTATATGACGGTATAGGAACAATGCTTCCTCTCTCTGAGATCCACCTCTCTGGTTTGAATTCCAAGCAGTCTTTTCCCCATACATCTTCACATCTTCCCATTGCATATAAAGATAATATTATCACAGAACCAGGACCAACCTCGTGTCCACTAGGAAGTATGTCGTGTTTGATTGCTTGCTTGCGCTCAAAAGGTACGGGAGGGTACAGTCTCATAGCTTCGCTTAAAGCAGCGTGGAGATATACTTGATACTGTGCTTCCTTTTCTTCTTTGATCTCTTCAAGGATCTTCGCTTCTACTGAAGGGTGTTTAGCAAGAAGCCAAAAGAACCAACTCAGAGCTGCGGATATAGTGTCTCTTCCTGCAAGAAAAAGATTAAAAGTGGCGTCTCTCAGAAACTGGTCATTCGCATGTTCTTTTCCTTCTTCCTTCCTCATCATACATGTCAACAAGTCATCATCGTTTTCTTTATCTTTTTCGTTCTCTTTGCTGATCTTTTCTCTCTTTGATGCTATACTTTCGTAGAGGAATCCGTCAAGAACTTCACATGCTAGGGCCAGTTTCTTCTCTGATCCAATTTTAAGCCATCTCTGAAGCTTCCAAATGCTTTTAGGTACTGTGTGCCTATAGAATATAAACTCCTCCGCTTCAGTAAAAGCCCTCTCACATGCAACTCTGGGGAAATCAATGGCAAGGCTCTCTGGCTCATATCCTAAGATATTGGAGCAAACAACATCAAAGTTGAAGCGATTGAACACGTCTTGCAGGTCCACTTCAATCCCTTCCCTTAAAACATGATCAAGAAGAGGAAGGAGACTTGTTTCCACCTTCTTTCGAACATTCTTCTCCATAAGCATCTGAAAACTCCTGGTTTTAAACAACGACTGGGAGAGTATCCTGTGGTATTTCCATGTATCTGAATCTGCAGTGACAACGCCAACCCCAAAAGCTTCAAAATCCTCACGAAACTCGGGCCCTCTAATGTAGTTGTTGAAATTCTTGCTCAAAATGTGATGTACGTTCATGGGGTCGCAGGTCGCCAAATAGTTCATACCAGTAAACCAAGGTCCGAGGAAACTACCGGTACCACCATTTCTTTGCAGAATTTGTGTTGCGTAGTCATGAATCTGCCGCAAATTTATGAGAAGATGTGGCAACATCCCCAATAGAGGCCAATCTGGTACGAGAGGGTCTCTGCAACACCGGCTTCTATGAAAATGATAAAGGAGAAAGATAAGTGCTGCAAAACCAGCAATTACTTGCACACACCCCAGCATTTTTTGGTTTGGACACAGACAGGGAGAGCTTTTCTTTCTGTATATATGATATATGGTGTGCTTTACAAATTATATATATATAGACTATAATATAATTGAAAATAAAGGATTCACGCGGTGCTCCCAAGTCAATGCAAGTTGCTGATATTTTGCTTCTTTTTGTTTATTAAAAAGATGTTATGAAAGCCCATAATCAATTAAGAAACAACTGTATGTACATGCAAGTTGTTGATATTTTTCTTCTTTTTTTCCCCCCTTCTGCACCGGTATCTTAGGTCAGCCCCTATCCATGGAGAGTTCAACGGGTCCAAACTAATCCGGATTCGAGTTCTGTTGGCCCTATACAGGGGAGACCCTGACCCCCTGGGCTATTGTGTTCCCACGTTTCGAACTCGAGACCCGTGGTTAAACTAGAATAACCCCGACCAGTTGATCTAGGTGCTCAGGGTTAAAAATTTTGAATTTTGAATTCAAGTGTGATGACGGTTAATGTATTTTTTTTTAGAGTCAATTTTAACGCCCCTAAAAAAATGTATTAAATAAATGTATATAAGTATCATTTTTCAGTATTTTTTAAGATATTGAATATACATGTGAAAATATTTTAAGATACTAGATAAATTACAAGACATTTTAGAGTACAGGATGAACCATCAAATATTTTAAAATGTGAGAGACACGTGAAAAAATATTTAAAATACTTTAAGACATTGGTTTAATTTTAACCCTTATAAAAATTGCTCTTTTTATAATCTGCACTGAGAGAAGTATTGAATGCGAGGCAGGAAAATTATATGTAGTATAGTTAGTCCCCGGATTATATTATATCTATATCTATATATATATATATACTACCTCCGGTCCTTAATATAAGACCCCGTTTGACTTTTTGTTTGGTCCTAATTATAAGACCCCAATCAATTTTTCTCTCATATTTATGTATTTTTTTCTAAGATAGTCCTTCTAATAATGATAGTTCTAGCCAATATACTTAATTAACAAGGATATTTTAGGAATGACAACACTTATTTATTACAAATAACTAACTTAACTTACTTCCTTAATCTCCTCAAATAAGTCAACTGGATTTTATAATTAGGACCGGAGGTAGTATATAAGCAAGTGGTTGGGAATTGGGAACTGATTAAAGAGGCATGCGGATGATATAATTAATAAGAGCTAGACTATGAAGTTTGTACATTTTAGACTAAACTCCACCCTAAAGCTATAATATCTGTGACTTCTAGAAGAAATATTCTTGGTAAGGTTAAATATATTCTAACCTTAATTATAGTTTATTGAAATAAATAAAATTAAAAATAACGTAATTTTTTAATCAACAAATGAATTTTATTACACATTAACTATTCTTCTCTCTTATAGTTGTTGTTAATAAATCTTTAACCTATTTTTAAAATTTAAGATTTTATTTTGGAATAGAAATGAATTCACTGGCTTTTTGAGTTTAAATACCTAAATCTTTTCTTCATGATAAGCATAATAGTGAATCTTATTCAACTTTTTTTAATTTATATATATGTGTGTGCGATAAAAAATGATTTTAAGAGAAATATCTTCTCTTAGGGACCTAAATGGAAATGTCAAATTAATTTACCATCAATAATTATTTATTACTTTACCAAAATAATGATAATAATAATTGGTAATTACTAATTAGGCCCATCCATAATCTCAGCTGTCCCACACAGCCACAGCGTCCTAATATCACGTGGATGGCCCTGAATTTGTTCCGCACTGTTAAATCTTAATTACGCGTGTTTAAATTACTATCTCTGAGTAATTCTCATTATAAAAGTTATAAATCCCACTATGTATTTTGTAAAATTCAAAATCAAAATTTCAGATTAGTACCTGATACCTTCTTTATCATTTTATTTATTCGGATGCCTTATTTGTTATTTTGAAATTCAAAAGGCATTTTATTGTCATCTTTTTCTTGTTAATATTACGATCGAGTACTTAATATAAGAACTAGTTAAATAATTTAAATAATTTAAAAAATTAGTTAATTGAATTATTTATAATAAACAAGCATTGTCTTTTTTTAAAATATAATTGCTAATCAAATATTTGATTAGAACTACTATATTATATAAGAACTATATTGTAAAAAAAATGAATAAATATGAGAGACGAAATGAATTAATGTCTTATATTTAGGACCAAAATAAAAGTTAAGCAAGTTCTTATATTAAAGACAGGAGGTAGTACAAGAGTTAGTTCAACTTTTAATTTGAAATTAAATATAAGACTCCAATACACTTTATCTCTCATACTTATTCATTTTTTTAAAGTAATCCTTATAGTAGTTGTACATGTTAAATATTTTATCAAATGGTAATTTTAGCTAATACATATTATTAGCAAGAGTATTCTAGAGAAGACAACATATTTATTACAAATAAGTAACTTAAACAAACTTCCTTAATACACTCAAATTAGTCAATTAGCTTTCATATTAAAGATACGAGATAGTAATAAAAAATTATTTTATAGAAATTTATATTTTCTTTCAATTTTTATTCCAGTAATACTCATACATTTTTATTAGGCTTTTTAATTTTTCTCCGTTAGCACTTTTTTTTTTTTTTTTGGGTGCCAAACTCTGTTAACACTGTTAACTCCTATATAAAAATTGATGATGCTAACAGAATAAAACTACAGGAGATAACGATACTAATATAGCAAAACTAAAGAATCTAATTAAGAGGAAAAAATTATAGGCATCAAATTAAAAAAAAGGGAGAATCCCAATTTAAAAAAGTATAGCTATCAAATCGACAGAAAATATAATAAGTACTTGCAAACTGATTTTTTTAAATAAAAAAGTATATTTAATTTATTTTTAAGGAAAAATTAGGGAGAAGGACGTAAAAACATTTAAATTTATTACAAAGGATCTTAAAAACTCTAATTTATTTTAACAGACCAAAACCTAAAATGTAAATTGATAGTTACTAAATTACCCTCTATTAAACCTAAAAACTTGGCCCTTTCTTCATCGTCTTCTTGCATATCCAATCTCCAATTATTGCCTTTTGCTTCCTTGCTTCACTTTCAATCTTTTGTCACAGCCGTTTCTTATGCTTATTTTCTCGCTTATCGTTTCCAATTGCCTCCCCCACCGTTTCCTATTTAATACTCCCTCCGTTTCTTATTATAAGAGACATTTAGTGCTTATGGCATGTTCCTATATATAAGAGACACTTAAAAGTTGTCTTTACTTTTTTGTGTTGATTTTCTATTTTACCCATATTTATTGTCTCCAACTCACACTCTCTCTCCTTCCCACTTCTCTTTCTTTTAATAAATTACCATTGTTCTCTCTCATGTTCTCTCTCCTTATTAATGAGGGTATTTTTGAAAAAAGAATTATACTTTTTACATATTAATTGTTTTTAACTAATTTTAACTGTTTTTTTGATTAACGTAATTCGGTTATTCGTCTCTTATAATAAGGAACGGAGGGAGTATTCATTAATAGATCAATAGTTGCTCGACATTTGCTTGGAAGTTGAAACAGAGTCCACTAAAATGTACAAGCTTCACAAATTATTTTGCATGAAGCTAGATTTTTTTATATAAAAAAATAAATAGAGTCCACTAAAATGTGCAGGCTTAAATTCCAAGCTGTCTTTGCCCCATATCTCTTCATAACTTCCCATACAAGGATACATTTGATAATTTTCTTTGATCTATTCAACAATCTTGGCTTCTGCAGAATGGAATCAATCTGTTGTGATACGTTAAAAGATAAATATCTCCATTTTTTAACCTTATTCTGCCAGTAAGAATGCTTTTTTAGGACTTCTCCTCCAACTTCTGGGCCTTTTGCTTACAAATTTTGCATCAATCCAATCAATAACATCATATAATTACTTTCTAGATCAGTTACATGCAAAATTTACTTGCGCTTAAATCTACCGTTACATATTGTTAAACATATGACCCCTAAAAAAATTGACACAGTTTCTCTCTAAATTAATTACTTGGAGTCCGGTATTGGTGAAAAGAGAAAGAAAGATGCAGTGGAACGTGTGAACTGTGATATTCACTAAAAACTTCTTATCTATATTTCCGTCCTTGTTAAGCATGAAAAGAATAATGCTTTTTCCAAACAAAATGTCCAAGAGAACTAAAGTTGGGATTCTTTCTTAGCCTCGTTACTATTTTTAAGCTAAGCGCTTTTAGAGGCTAATTTTGCGAGCTTCCTTTCTACCAAATTATACTTTATTCATCCATGCATGTAATAAAAGCAAGACAGTTTAATTTCCACGGCCTCAAACATATATCTGATACATGTGTAATAGTTTCTACTACTTCACACACACACACACACAGAGGACATTGTTTACTTCGTTGTTCCATCAAATTAACAATATATCACTCTTTCTGTGATTCGAACTTTGAGACCGTACTTCATTAGGAATATTATAGAAAGTGGAGGAGAAATAGGATGATCTTCCACCACATGGGCTTGATAATTCCTCAAAATAGAACTCGCCACTATCTTCATTTGCATGAAGGACAAGTCCTTACCCAAACAAGTCCTTGCTCCTGCGTTGAACCTAACGAACTTGAATGACGGTATATGAACGATGCTTCCTCTCTCAGAGATCCACCTCTCTGGTCTGAATTCCAAGCAATCTTTTCCCCATGCCTCTTCACTTCTTCCCATTGCATACAAAAATGACATTATCTTGGTACCAGGACCAACCTCATGCCCACTGGGAAGTACGTCGTGTTTTATTGCTTCATTGCGCTCGAAAGGTACGGGAGGGTACAATCTCAGAGCTTCGCACAAAGCACCATGGAGATATACTTGATATTGTTCTTCCTTTTCTTCTTTGATCTCTTCAAGAATCTTAGCTTCTACTGAAGGGTGTTTACCAACAAACCAAAAGAACCAAGTGAGAGCTGAAGTTTTGGCATTTCTACCTGCAACAAAAAGATTAAAAGCCACGTCTCTCAGAAACTTGTCATTTGCATGTTCTTTTCCTTCTTCCTTCCTCATCATACATGTTAGCAAGCCATCATTTTCTTTAACTTTTTTTCCTTGTCTTTGTTGATCTTTTCTCTCTTTGATGCTATGCTTTCATAGAGGAACCGGTCAAGCACTTCACATGCTCGGGCCATTTTCTTCTCTGGTCCAATTTTAAGCCATCTCTGAAGCTTCCAAATGCTTTTAGGCACTGTGTGTCTGTAGATTATAAGCTCCTCTACTTCGGTAAAAGCTCTCTCGCATGCAACTAGCGGGAAACCAATGGCAAGGCTTTCTGGGTCATATCCGAAGACATTGGAGCAAACAATGTCAAAGTTGAAGCGACTGAACGCATCTTGCAAATCTAATTCAATCCCTTTCCTTTCTACAGAAGAGGAAAAAGACCTATTTCCACCTTCTTTCGAGCATTCTTCTCCAGAATCATCCCAAAACTCTTGGTTTTAAGCAGCGAATGAAGGAGTGTCCTGTGGTATTTCCATGCATCTGAATCCGTAGTGAGAATCCCATCCCCAAAAGCTTCAAAATCCTCACGAAGCTCGGGCCCTTTAATGTAGTTGGCGAAATTCTTGCTCATCATGTGATGTACGTTCTTGGGATGTAAACCAAGATCCGAGGAAATTACCAGTACCTCCATTTCTTTGCAGAACTTGAGTTGCGTAGTCATGAATCTGCCACGAATTTATGAGAACTGGCGGCAACATCCCTCATAGAGGCCAATCTACTAAGAGGGGATTTGCAACATCGGCTTCGAGGAAATGAAAAGGGAGGAAGATAAATGCTGCAAAACCAGCAATTACTTGCACACAACCCAGCATTTCTGGTATGAACTCAAACGGAGGGCTTTGCTTCTAGGGAAAATTTCATTTAAGGACCACAGAAGAAAATTTATATCAGTCAACCCTCAAAACATTCTAAAATATTACTACAGGACCAAGGGACCAAACTGAAATTAAAACTAAAAGTAAGATTACAATAATACCCCTCACTTTTATTTTTTTAAAAAAATAAATATTAATGGACGCAACTGTTCCGGCCATTGAAGGTTGGAGGCTCGGCCACTGACGCTCAGATGGCCTCCATCAGAGGTTGGACCTCCGGTGGCCAGAAATTTTTTTTATTTTTAAAACAAGATGGCCAAGGGAAGGTTTGAACCCATGACCCCTTGGCACACCAAAAGTGATGTAGCCACTAAGCCAAACAAGCCATTCAATCATGTAATGCAAATAAAAATATATAAAACAAAACAAACACAACTGTCCAAGTATAAGTGAACAAGTGAAATTAGACGATTTACAAGTGAAATTCAGCAATTTACAACAAAAATTAGGCAATTTACAAATAATATAACAAAATTCACAACCCCAGATGCAAGTGTTTAAGTACAAATGAGCAAGTGAAATTTGAAGATTTATAACAAAAGTTTATGGATTTATAACCCAAATTTGACTATTCACAAGAAATACAAAAGAATTCATAGCCCAAAATGTAAGTATTTGAGTATAAGTGAACAAGTGAAATTCAACAAGTTACAACAAAAATTTGACAATTTACAAATAACATAATGGAATTCACAACCCTAAATGAGTGTTTAAGTGTAAATAAGCAAGTGAAATTTGAAGATTTACAACAAAAGTTTATGAATTTACAAGTGAAATTCGATGATTTACAAGTGAAATTTAGTAATTTATAACAAAAATTAAGCAATTTACAAATAACATAATGGAATTCACAACCCCAAATGCAAGTGTTTAGTGCAAATGAGCAAGTGAAATTGTAAATTTCACTTGTAAATCTATAAACTTTTGTTATAAATCTTCAAATTTCACTTGCTCATTTACATTTAAATACTTGCATTTAGGGTTGTGAATTCCATTATGTTATTTGTAAATTGCCAAATTTTTGTTGTAAATTATTGAATTTCACTTGTAAATTGTCGAATTTTACTTGTTCACTTACACGCAAACACTTACATTTTGGATTGTGAATTCTCGTGTTTATTGTGAATAGCCAGATTTGGGATGTAAATTCATAAACTTTTGTTGTAAATCTTCAAATTTCACTTGCTCATTTGCACTTAAACATTTGCATCTAGGGTTGTGAATTTTATTATGTTATTTGTAAATTGCCTAATTTTTATTGTAAATTGTTGAATTTCACTTGTAAATCATCTAATTTCACTTGTTCACTTATACTTGGAGAGTTGCATTTGTTTTGTTATATATATTTTTATTTGCATCACATGATTGAATGGCTTGTTTGGCTTGGTAGTTATATCACTTTTAGTATGCCAAGGGGTCATGGGTTCAAACCTTCCCTTGGCCACCTTATTTTAAGAAAAAAAAATTCCGGCCACTGGAGCTACAGTAACGGCCACCGAAGGTCCAACCTCTGGCAGTGACCACCTGAGCACCGGTGGCCGGAACAGTTGCGTCCATTAATATTTATTTTTAAAAAAAAAATAAAAGTGAGGGGTATTATTGTAATCTTACTCTTAGTTTTAATTTCAGTTTGGTCCCTTAGTCTTGTAATGATATTTCAGAATGTTTTGGGGGTTGATTGATATAAATTCTCTTCTGCGGTCATTAAATGAAATTTTCCCTTGCTTCTATAGATATATGATGTGGCTATGCAAATATAAATAGACAGTAACTGCTAGAAGATTCCCGCTGTGCACTTGAATGGGGACCATCTCATAGTACACGCAATATGGGTAGGTGATCCATCTATTGTGGGGTGTGCTTGTGTTTGCTTCAAATTATCATACACAGTTTACAATCTGATACTAATCGTCCTCTTCATGAAAACTTCCTTTCCTTTAATTTCTCACCACTTATTATTGTGGCATACAAGTGTAATGGGTCCAGGAGAAAGTTTCTTAAACGAAATTAATTCGCAACTTAATTGATGGGGTCAACAACTTAATTACATGTATACCATCAACTTAATTGATGGTATACATGTAATTGTTCTATACATGTATCTTTTATTAGAGGTAATTTATTCAAGATACTGTTGGACACTAAACGTGAATATACTTTCAATAAAGATTCTAATATTAGTTTGTCATGTTGTAAGGGATTTTTGTAGTATTTTTTAAGAGGATGCCAAGAGCATGAGTATCACTTGTAGGATTATGGTTTAATGGATCCACTACCAAAAAAAATTGATTTTCAACAACAACAAAAAATCGCCCCTGAAAATATAAAAGTCGTCGTTAAAAATTCGTTACCGTAGCAATCGTGGCTGAAAACTTTCAACAGCGATAAAAAAAAATTGCCACTAAAAGTGTCTCTCGGTGGCAACTTTTATAAGTTTTAGTAGCAACGTTTTTATCCCCGCCAAAAAGTGCTTTTAGCGACAACTTTCAATGATGACTTTTTTTGTCACCTCCAAAAGTCTTTGTCTAAAGTTTTTTTTTTTTTAGTAGTGATCCTTCAACCTTGTCCAGATTTCACCCAAAAGAAAAGAGGAAATACATATGGAAGCAGTATTCAACGCTGCCCAATCACGTTGAGGGTCAACAGGGATTTGGTGATTAATTTGCTTCCACTTGAATTGAAGAATTCTCAATTTTGGTGAATCTCAATTCTCAAGACAAAAATTCAAGTCCAATATGAAAAGTACTCTTTTTACAGAATCTGCATCCGATAAAACGCAGTAAGATATACTTTTCTGGTCCTATTTATAAGTCACTTCAAATATATTTCACATAGACTAAGAAAAACTTTAAACTTTATTAATTCTTATTTAAAATTCAACAAGTTTTCAACTTTATCCCTATTTAGTATATATTATATCTCATGTAAACAAAGTCAACACAATAATAAATGAAGGATAAAATTATACATCCATACAAAATATTTCTCTCAATATCATATAAATAGGACAAAAAAAATATATTCTCTCTTTGTCCTATAAATAGGACCAGAGGAGTATATGGGAACTAATTAAAGGCGTAAGGGGGTGCGGGTGTGTGTGGTCTAGATTTAGAGTTGAAGGAAGCCAATTCGGCCACGTGCTTTGAATGGTTTTCAGCCATTGAATGTTCATGACCGATCTAAGTGAACATGTTTAATTTGGAGCGATGCAACAGTACGCAACTAAGAAGAATAACTTAAAGAATCAAGAGAAAGGGGGAAAAAAACAAAGAAAAGAAAAAAGGAACCGAGGAAAATGGAAGTTCCAACACAAAATAGGTTGCTCTATTTCTTGTATTCATTATACTTGCAATTCAACGTCAGTGCTAGGTTAGCGCCTACTGAAGAGGAATTTGTTAGTAGTTAGACCAATCAGTCAATCATACTAGTTAGACGCTTTTGACCCGTTCAGTCCCAAGATTAGTCAAATTAATTCTCTAGCTAATCTAACTTCTCTGTATGTACATTCAAGTTATTGGTCGTCCAGATCAAGAAATTCCTCATCAAACTTTATAAGCATAGCAACTTTTGTGAGCTTTCTATACGCCAAGTTATAATACTTTTATTCATCCGTGCAATATAATATATGCATAACAGTTCCCCACCACCTCAAACTTATGTAATACATGCATATATAATAGTTTCCACAACTTCACACATACATTAGAAATAATTTAATTTATTCTTCCAACGAATCAAGAATCACTCTCTTTTTGTGACCAGAACTTTGAGACCATACTTCATTAGAAGCACTATTGAAAGTGTGGGAGAAATAGGATGCTCTTCCACCACTTGAATATGATAATTCTTTAAGATAGCAGTAGTCATAATCTTCATTTGAATGAAGGACAGGTCCTTACCCAAGCAAGTTCTTGGTCCTGCGTTGAAACTAATGAACTTGTATGACGGCACATGAACGATACCTCCTCTCTCTGAGATCCATCTTTCTGGTTTGAATTCCAAGCAATCTTTTCCCCATATCTCTTCGGATCTTCCCATGGCATATAAAGATAACAGTATTGCAGTACGAGGATCAACCTCATGTCCGCTTGGAAGTATGTCGGCTTTGATTGCTTGCTTGCGCTCAAAAGGTATGGGAGGATACAGTCTCAGAGCTTCACAGAGAGCACCATGGAGATATACTTGACATTTTGCTTCCTTTTCTTCTTTGATCTCTTCCAGAATCTTCGCTTCTACTGAAGGGTGTTGAGAAACAAGCCAAAAAAACCATGCGAGAGCTGAAGTTAAGGTGTCTCTGCCTGCAACAAAAAGATTGAAAGCTGTGTCTCTCAGAAACTTGTCGTCCGCGTGATCTTTTCCTTCTTCCTCCCTCATCAAACATGTTAGCAAGTCATCGTTTTCTTTCTCCTTTTCGTTGTTTTTGCTAAGCTCCTCCCTTTTTGATATTATACTTTCATGGAGGAACCTGTCAAAAACTTCACAAGCTTTGGCCATCTTCTTCTCTGGTCCAATTCCTAGCCATCTCTGAAGCTTCCAGATGCTTTTGGGCACCGTGTGTCTGTAGAATATAAACTCCTCTGCTTCATTAAAAGCTCTCTCAGATGCAATTTCTGGGAAGTCAACGGCGAGGCATTTAGGATCGGATCCTAAGACCGTGGAGCAAATAGTGTCGAAGTTGAAGCGATTAAACACGTCTTGCAAATCAACTTCAATCCCTTCCCTTTCTACATGATCCAGAAGAGGAAGGAGACAACTCTCCACCTTGTTTCGAACGATCTTCTCTAGAAACCTTTCAAAGCTCTTGTTCTTAAACAATGAATGGAGAAGTGCCCTATGGTATTTCCAGGTGTCTGAATCAACAGTGAAAATCCCATCTCCGAAAGCTTCAAAGATTTCGCGAAACTCAGGCCCCTTTACGTAGTTGACGAAGTTCTTGCTCATCATGTGGTGGACATCCATGGGGTCACAGGTGATCAGGTAGTTCATTCCAGTAAACCAAGGTCCCATGAAGCTCCCAGTGCCAGCTTGTCTTTGGAGAGCTTGAGTTACATAGTCATGAATCTGCCATAAATTAGTGAGAAGTGGCGGTAACATCCCCAACACAGGCCAATTTGTTAACAGAGGATCTCTGCAACATCGTCTCTGATGATAATAAAAAAGGAAGAAGATAAGTCCCACAAAAGCTGCAATTACTTGTGCACAAACAAGCATCATGGCCGTACTATGTGCTGTTGGAGATGTGAATGATGAACTCAATCTCTTGTGATATGTTCACTTTATATAGCGAATAGGAAGTTCAAGTTGTGTTCCTAAGTCAATAAATTAGGTGCCTGATATACTTGCAGATTAGGTATCTTCACTTAACTCCCAAAAGGATAAGCAGCATGTGATGAGGACGATGTAACAAGAAAGGGACATGCATATATCTGCATCCAAGAAACTTTAATCTTAAAAAAGCCAATCACCTTGTAATCTAACAGCATATCGATCATTCTAGTTAACGCTAATTTAGGGCTCGTTTGGATTGTTGTTGCAAATGGTAAAAGCACACAGAAAAGCATAAAACTAAGGTTTGTGGCTTATTATAGCTCAGAAGATTATTTGGATTGGGCTTTTCTTTTCTAACTGACTTATGGAAAAAAGTAATTTTTCTAACTGACTTATTCAATGTAATTTGGATCAACTTTTCTAACTACTTATAGGAAAATTGTGCAAAACTTACGATCTAATTAGTTATGTGATTCCATTTACTTTAATTACAGACTAAATAAATTTTAATGTATATTCATGTTTATCCATTATGTATATTTAATTAATTATCTACAATGTATTTTCAAATTTTCTCCGTAACAAATATTTTTATTCTATAATTTCACAAATAAATTATTTATATTTTATCATAATAATTTTATGTGTTTTTTTAAATTATTATCACATTAAAAATATAAAATTTCAAACACTACTCTATGCCCTTTTCAGTCATTTTACAACTAAACAAACTTTTCTATTAATCATCTAAATAATTTTTAACTTTTTCAACTGACTTTTTAAAAGCACTTATCCAAATATAAATTACATTATACTAACTGATTTTTACGCTAATTTCAGCTATAAAAATCAGTTGGGTTAGAAGTCAGTTTTGTCTAATACCAATCCAAACATACCCTTAGTAGTGTGCTAGATTACTGTGGCTTTGATTTCGCATGCTAACTCTTGTAATCCGCGGAAAAAGAAAACCTCAAATAAAAATTTGGTGACTTTTATTGCAAGTGAGTTTGATTCATCAAAGATAAATAAACTAGAATCAGTATGGGGGCTATGGGCTAAAATCGATTAAACCTGAAGTTCAATTATTTGCTATTTCTGGAGAAGTTGCTTTCTTTCGTTTCTAGTCGACCCAATAGAGTTGCAGACGAAGGGGATGGGCCCTTAAAGCTACTCTCACAACTCTCCTCCAGTTGTCCTTTGAAAAGACAGGGTTTAATATTCAAAGTACTTTTTGGTTAGGTCGGCTCAATTATTGTGAGCCTCCTCGCACTTGTGCGTATATATACACTACTTCCTTTGTTACGTTTTATAAAGTGGTTTTATGGAGTAATTTTATTTGGGAAAATTGTAAAAAAAGACCTTGAAATTGTAAAAACGCAGATAGGGACCCTTGATAACTTCACTTTGGGTTTTGACAACTTCAGGGCATATTATTCTTGTCAAAACCCAAAGTGAAGTTGTCAAGGGTCTCTATCTACGTTTTTACAATTCGAAGGTCTTTTTTTGCAATTTCCCCATTTTATTTCTTATAATATAATTTTTTTTTCAAAAAAATGATAATATATAAATGAACCATATCTCAAAACATCCTTTATAATTTAACTAAGAGAAAGTGTGATCGAGGGGTCAGTTTTAAATGAGGGGTACTTAAAAGATTTATAATAACAAGATTAGACAGTGTAGTTTGTATATTATATGGGATTCCATACAAAATAGCTATAATGTTTATGAGTCATATACAAACAATCTACTGGAAATTAAGGTTAAATATATGCTGTACCCTAATTATAATTTATTGCGATAAATGAAATAACAAACTTCTGCTTGTATTTAGATAGCTAAGTCTTTTTTCTTAATAATAAGCAAATAGTAAATTTTATAAATTTTCTTTGATATACATGATAAAAACAAAATACTTTTTAAGAGAAATATCTTGTTCTTTTTTTGTTTTGGGAGAACCTAAAAAGAAATGTCAAATGAATTTACAATTATGAAAATTGCAATTGGCCACCTCCATTTCCGCGGTCCCGCTCCTTGCAAATAGCTTTTATGATAAGTAGGCATCCAATGAATACCACAGCCATCAATTGGCTACGAATGTCCGATTAACCATATTATGTGGGTTGTCGTCCAATTCTAGGTGGGTGCACACATCATTCACCTTTTTGGGTACAAGGCTTTTTTTTTTTTTGGATGACAATGTGAATTTCATTTCATAAAACCAAAACCACATGCATATATAGAGGAAAACAAACTTGGCTTAAAGTTGATCCCCTACCGCGCGAAGTACTCTTCCGGTTCTTAATATAGGACTTAATTGTTAAGTTAATTTTAGTTATAAATATAAGACATTTATCATATTTATCAATTTTTCCTAAATTACTGCTATAGACACTCCCTCAACTATAATCAAGTAAGTGAGTGAGAGAAGATATTAAGAAAGATGATTATGGTGTTTTCGAAAAAATATGTCATATTTTTTATAATTAACTAACTTACCTAACTTCCTTAATATAATCAAATTAGTTAAATAGGTCTTATATTAAAGACGGGAGAAATATCTTTTTATAAGGTATGTCAATTACTCTTCAGATAACTAATTTACAGATAACAAATAATTAGTTGAAATTAGTTAAAAGTAATAAATAGATTAGAAATATAGTTTTGTTTTCAAATATGCCTTTATGACAAATGAGAAAAATGATAAAAGAGAATATATGAGAAAATGTGATGAGAGAATATGGTAAAGAAGAGATAATAAATAAATAAAGCATTAAATATTTAGATAAACCAGAAATTGAAGCTTATAAAATGGAGCACACCCTTCTTCAAACTTGAATTTATAAATAGTACTGTAAGAAGTATTTATTAAGGTACTATCCTATGGTATATTGCCTGTTCATTGAGCACTTTTAACTATTTTTTTTAACTGTATCAAGCACCCTAAATAAACTAAAAAAGATATATTAAAAATGTTTTATACACATTCAATCAGTGAACTTTTTGAATAGATAACGGTGAGGTTAAAATCGTTCCTGAAAGAACATTTTCAGAGCAAAATTGATCTTGAAAAAAAAAATTATTACTTTAAGGACCAATTGTACCGCAATAATTTGAGATGCTAAACAAGTTAAAAAAATATTTTAAAGTGTTAAATAAATCACAAAATAATTTAGGATATTACATGCATATAAAAAAAATACTTCACAGTATCAGAATGGAATAATATTTAGCCAAAAAAACTCAGATCACCTTTTAGGGAGGCTTCGAAATTTTCCTTTCAAACTTTTCATAGTGGCAAAACCTATACAACACACACACACACACACACAGATTCAATAATAGAGATCCCACAAAATTTTACATCTTATGAATTTTGCTAGAGCTTCCTTTCCTCCAAATTACACTTTATGCATCCATGTAATACAAGCATGATAGTTTCCACGACATCAGACACATCTAAGGCAGATATAATAGTTTCCACGACTTCAAACATTAAACATTAGAAATTATTTAATTATTCGTCCAACAAATTTAACAGTCACTCTCTTTTTGAGACTCGGACTTTTAGACCATACTTCATTAGAAGCACTATTGAAAGTGTGGGAAAAATAGGATAATCTTCCACCGTTTGGATATGATAGTTCTTTAAGATAGCAGTAGCCATTATCTTCATTTGAATGAAGGACAAGTCCTTGCCCAAGCAAGTTCTTGGTCCCGCATTGAAACTAATGAACTTGTACGATGGTATATGAACGATTCCCCCTCTTTCAGAGACCCATCTCTCAGGCTTGAATTCCAAGCAATCTTTTCCCCATGTCTCTACAGATCTTCCCATTGCATACAAAGATAACAATATGTAAGTACGAGGACCAACCTCATGTCCGCTTGGAAGCATGTCGGGTTTGATTGCTTCCTTGCGCTCAAGGTATGGGAGGGTACAGTCTCAGAGCTTCACAGAGAGCACCATGGAGATATACTTGATTTTTGGATTCCTTTTCTTCTTTGATCTCTTCCAGAATCTTGGCTTCTACAGAAGGGTGTTTAGCAACAAGCCAAAAGAACCATGTGAGAGCTGAAGTAATGGTGTCTCTGCCTGCAACAAAAAGATTAAAAGCTGTGTCTCTCAGAAATCTGTCGTCCACGTGATCTTTTCCTTCTTCCTCCCTCATCAAACATGTTAGCAAGTCATCGTTTTCTTTCTCCTTTTCGTTGTTTTTGCTCAGCTCTTCCCTTTTTGATTTTATACTTTCATGGAGGAACCTGTCAAAAACTTCACAAGCTTTGGCCATCTTCTTCTCTGGTCCAATTCCTAGCCATCTCTGAAGCTTCCAGATGCTTTTGGGCACCGTGTGTCTGTAGAATATAAACTCCTCTGCTTCATTGAAAGCTCTCTCACATGCAACGTCTGGGAAGTCAACGGCCAGGCATTTGGGGTCTGCTCCCAAGACTGTGGAGCAAATAGTGTCGAAGTTGAAGCGATTATACACATCTTGCAAGTCCAGTTCAATCCCTTTCCTTTCTACATGAGCCAAAAGAGGAAGGAGACAACTTTCCACCTTCTTTCGCACAATCTTGTCAAGAAACATTTCAAAGCTCTTATTCTTAAACAGTGAATGGAGAAGCGTCCTATGGTATTTCCACGTGTCAGAATCAACAATGAAAATCCCCTCCCCGAAAGCTTCAAAGATTTCACGAAACTCACGCCCCTTTACGTAGTTGACGAAGTTCTTGCTCATCATGTGATGCACATTCATGGGGTCACAGGTGACGAGGTAGTTCATTCCAGTAAACCAAGGTCCGATGAAGCTCCCAGTGCCTGCTTGTCTTTGGAGAACCTGAGTTGCAAAATCATGAATCTGCCATAAATTAGTGACAAGCGGCGGTAGCATCCCCAAAAGAGGCCAATTGGTTAAGAGAGGATCTCTGCAACATCGTCTATGATGATAATAAAACAGGAAGAAGATAAGTCCCGCAAAAGCTGCAATAGTCACTTGTGCACAAACAAGCTCCATGGAGATCGCTTTGCTTTGCTTAGATTAGATATCTCAAGTTAATAACTCGGAAAGGATATGATGATCCAGTGACCAGGAATGCATGTGCGTATGGAAGGGATACAGACTATATTATTTTATAACAAAAAATAAAAATTTTGGCAATTTTTTGTGAAATAATGCATGGGTGTTATTATATGGGTCATAATCGATACACATCGACGGTTCATAAATTCAATCGCACCGGTCCATTGAATCCAATCTGCATTGCTTGGTCCTTGAAAATGACTGTTTGCTAGTTCAGGACAAAGCCAATAGATTTTAGACAGAAGGGATGGGACCCCTTAGTCTGGTATTCACAACTCTCCTACGCCGTGGTGCTTGGAGAGCCTTTGGTTTTGATATGCTCAATTATTGTGTGTGAGCCTCGTTAATTGTACTTGCCCCATTTCATCATGCAAAAAGGAAAAAAATTAGCATTTTATTATCAGTTTTTTCATATGCAACTGGAGTAAAGTAAAATTAACCTTTTTTTTAAATTTCAATAAAACATGTTAAAAATGGATTATAAATGCGTTTCAGTAATACTTTGTCACTAAATAAGTGTGGTTAGTATTTATGCCGGGCTCCAAATGGATGTGATGTAACTTCGATCGTTAATTTTGTCTTTTTCACTTCACTTGGTACGGTCTTTTTCAATTTCCTGTTTTTCTGCTGGGTTCAGATTTATTGTTTTTTTTTTCCCTCGGGTTGTCACTTGTCTTGGGTCCGCATGCCATGCTCACATCCCCCAAGCGTTGTCATTCGGAGATGAGATAGCCTTTCTTTTTCCCTTTTATAAATAATTTTTATTAATTTATTAATTTATTTATGTTAACTTATATCCATTATTTTAAAATATTTTTCTACTATCACTCAGTATTTTTTTTTTTCAGATACTCAGTGTTATTGGCAAATATTTCAGGATACTGAATGCTCTAAAATTAATTAATTCATACTAAAAAATTATTTTTGAATGCTTGAATCACTAAAAAAATTAATTTAGGATACTAGATGTTACTACAAAAATATTTTAAAATACTGAATGTACTAAAAATTAACTAATTTACGATAATAGGTGACTGCTGCTAAAAAAATATTTTAGGAAGACAGATTCATTAAAAATAATTTAGAATACTAAGTGTTACTGAAAAAATATTTTAGAATGCAAAATTTATTAAAAATTAATTAATTTAAAATATTGAGTGCTACTAGAAAAAATATTTTAGAATGGTAAATAAAAGTTAACCCAAATAAAAAAATTAATAGATATTATAAAATTTGAGGGGTGGGGGGGTTATGAGCACGCCATGCGGATTCCACTTGTCTTCGTCCTCAAATTATCAAGTAAGTATCATTGATATCCTCGAAATTTGAATATTCTGCTTATATATATTTATTATGAATAATTAATGTTTATTTTGATGATAATTTAAAAATTATCGTGATTATAGGGCTCATTCATAAAAATTGACTTTAATAATTTCTAAATCTCACCACGTCTATTCTTGAATAATTATCCACAAAAAATTTAAAAAATAACAGGAAAAAATGTTAATTTCCATTCCTCTACTCACAAAAAAGGAAGAAGAAGAGAGAGGATATTTTACGTAACTATAATATAATATATTGTGATAATTAAAATAACTAGCTTTTGGGCATTTCTCAGTATCGTAATGCCGTGCGATCACAATCAATACAACTCGTTATTAATGTTCACTTAGAATATTAGAATGAATGTTCGCCAAAAAATATATATTAACCTCTTATTTTAATGGTAAGAGTTAGTTGATTAATTTGAAGATATTAAGAAATAAGTTAAATTAATTATTTGTAATAAATAAATATCATTTTTTCTGAGATATCTTTACTAATCAATTGTATTAGTTAGAACTATCACTATTAGAAATATTACATTAAAAAAATATAAATATAAGAAATAAAATAGATTGGGTTATATTAAAGATTGAAAGTAGTATATAAGAATGAACTCTAGATCATGAACAGTCTCCATCTCGTGATAGATACATGTAGTGTATGATAACGATGATATTAGACGCAGAGCGGTTTCCGCACGACTCCGGGAGGGATTGAGTCAACACGTTATCCGTACTCTGTTGAAGTCTGAAATAATTTTACTACAGACCCATCCTCATCATATTGCTTTATTTTTTGTGGTACAAAAAAATTTAAGTGAACTGGATATTGGAGCTTATCCAGGTCAGGATCTATCTCCACACTCAGTATCTGTGGAGGTATTTTAAAAACGTTCATCAATAAAATTCTCACGTCAGCATAGGGATCTGAATTCATAATATTATAGATTATGAACTGACTTCTTATTAACTGTATCAACTTTTATTAGTAACACTGCTTCGAAGTATGTTTAAAATTACATATAGCTGGCGTTCATTGGGTAAATAGGACGAGAGGAAAAATTCTATGTTTCAGTGACGCGTCTTAACTTCTCAAGAACTTTATTATCTTCTTTGATGTATATCATTTTGCCTTTTCTTCAAAAAAAGAGATAACAAGATTTTGATTGTTGTGAAACAGAATGAAAATCTAAATTCTAAAGCATACTATCTAGCTTTAGACCCCAACAACAGCGCGCTAACCAGCTAGTAGCTGGGGAAGGGAAGGAAAAGAAAACTCATTCTGTCGGGCTTTTGTCAGGCTTTTGAAATTAAGGGGCCTGGAGTGCAATGATTGAAAATTTCTACACTTTCACATCCTTATGGGCTCACGGCCCATTTCTTACATCCAGTCTAAAAATCTAATATGCAATACCCGATTATATCTCTAACAAGATTATTTCTAATAAGAGAATATTTATTTATAAGTTTCAAAATTAAATGCGATCTAAAAATGAGTCTTTTTCTTGGTAATTGGTTTTTTCACAAAATAATGCTAAAGAGTTTTTTTTAATATATAATTAGACTGATTGTATTTGCATGAAATTGAGCTCATACTCCTCCTATCCTAAATATAAGACCCTTATACTAGGGTGTATAAGGGTCTTATATTTAGGACCGGATAAGTATACTATATATGTCCATTGTTAAGACACGCATGCATGCATTTTATATCCCGGAGATAATCTATGGTTATGTTGCTATTTTAACTTGCCCCGTGCAAGCCTTTAAAAAAAAAAATTCCCATTTTTCGTGCGAATCTTTAGCGTAGAGAGGGGGGGGGGGAGAACCCAATAATTTAAGTAACACATTACTACCACCTTAACACGGTAATTTTACATTTTAACGCCCTCACGATGGCGGATTCATTGTACGTCTGATTAAATGTCATTTCAACCTGCGAAGATCAGAACATGTCAGGTGTCAATCAATGTAGATTGATCCCTAACAATGGACAATTCCAGCTCACCCTCAATCCTTTCATCATCAACACCCGAGTCACCAACAAACTATAGTCTACAGAAACATCACACTTTACAGTTTTTTTTTTTTTTTTTTTAGTTAAACATCACAACTTTTTACATTACATATGTTAATTACGATAACCATACATTGAAACAGCCAAAATTTCAGGGGGAACCGCAACTCAAATTAATTTTAAACAAATACCTTAAAAAAACAAAAAAAAACTCATTTAAAATAATTTATAAATAACTTTTTAATCATAATTTACGGAATACGAAATAAATATGTAAAAGTAATTTTATCTTAATTTACACAAAACATGTTTATAAATTATTTTTATCATTCTGCCAAATAGGGCCAACATTGTGCTTTGCTTATATATATACGTGTGCGTATGTATATGTCCAACTATTATTATGTGGTGTAAATACTTGAAGCTGCTAACCAATTGCGCAGAATCGTACGTACGTACTTGCTGCTTCATCTGAATATTAATTCAAAGGACTTGGTCTTGAATCTTGATTGGATCCTTTTAAATGTTTATTTTGAACTGCTTAATACAAGTATTTATAAATACCTTTATATAAGTCAAGGTAAAATTACTCACATACTTACTTATTATTTTATAAATTATAATTAAAAAATTATTTTTAAATACTTCAATTATATTGCCACTTCAAACAAATCCAATCGCTACATGATGATTTTTTTTTTTTTTTTGGCTGCCAACTTGGGTGGCTAGCTAGCTATCTAAGATGATTGCTGAGACAGTTGCATATAAATGGAGCCTGCTGTTACAGTGCCCCATTGAATATCTTTGCAGTGTGCTTCACCCCTGTTTCAGGGCAAAAGCTCAGTTGAAGTAATTAGCAGGTACGTCCATGAAGCCCCCTTCATTAGAGCTAACTATTATCCGTCTGTCCCTACCAGCACAACTCATATTGGAAAAATTATAGTAAAATCCTATCAGAATTAAATATAAAAAAATCTTTTGAAATCATCAAATTAATTGAAATAAATTTTATTTGTTTAATTATTAAAATATTTTTGTCTTTTTTTTAAAAATATACATTGATAACTAAAAGTGCAGTCGTTAATAATTTAAGGTGCAATGATTAATAATTATCATGACAAGCATTGACAACACATTTTCTGTCAATATTTACCGTGATAATTGTTAATCGTTACACCTTAAGTTCTTAATAAATACATTTTTAGTTGTCAATATATATTTTAGAATACTGGATACGCCTTAACTCATATCTTAAGGATCAATGTTAATATTTTAATGGGATGGGGACAATATTGCTACATTTTGAAATTTTTGAAACCATATTAAATCCATCAAAAAAACTTTTAAAACAACATGACACTACTACAATGAAAACTTTTTACTTCTGTTTTGCATGGGACATGAAAAGAAGGGACATAAAAAGTACCCCCTTTTTACTTCTGTTTGGAACGGACGAGAATTAATGTCTGTTTCCCAACACAGACGTGAATTCACGTCTGTTAATTTTAAAACAGACGTGAATTCACGTCTGTTAATTTTAAAACAGACGTGAATTCACGTCTGTTTTTTTAGAGACAGACATTAATTCACGTCTGTTTTAAAATTAACAGACGTGAATTCTCTAAACAGACGTGAATGTACTCTGTTTTTTTTAAAAAAAGATTCAGTTCGTATATACTGCTTCTCCTACAGCCACAATAGCCATAATAGCCACTTTCCAGCAAGTTGAAATAGTATGAACCAGTCAATATTTTCAGCCAAGACATATCAACATCATAACTTCATCTATATAGACACATTAATTAACTAACTAGTCAAAAAAGAACAAATTACAAAAGTCAATATTGATCCTATTGTCTCTAAACATAAACTTGCTCAATCCCTGGACCACAATTCTTGAAGCAGTTGCTGTGCCAAAAGGTCTCGGATGAAGTTAATGTCATCAATAGTATATGAACAATTCCATAGCCTCTTCCGCTACATACCTTTCAACAATTGATGCTTCAGGTCGATAAGGATTTTTAGAATAATTTTTTAAGACTTTCATGTACCTCTCAAATGGATACATCCATCTTAGAAAAATAGGATCGCAAAGCCTTATCTCCCTCACTAAATGAATGATCAAATGCACCATGATGTCAAAAAATGCTGGGGGAAAGTGCATTTCTAGTTGAGACAAGATAACATAACCCTCATTTTCCAATTCATCCAATTTCTCTATGTCAATGACTTTGCTACAAATAGCATTGAAGAAGATACATAATCTAGTTATAGTGCTCCTCACATCATCTCTCATTGTGCCTCGAATAGCTACGGGTAATAGTTGTTGCATCAGTACATGATAATCATGAGACTTCATTCCCACTAACTTCAAATCATGCATTGAGACAAGCCTTTTCACATTAGAAGAATACCCCTGGGGCACCTTGATGTCATGCAAACACCGACACAAGCTTGTTTTTTCGACTTTAGACAATGTGTGGGCCGCAGGTTCCATATAAGCCCGCTTATCACCCTCTCTCAATTGTGGATGTAAGCGCTCTCGAATGCCCATTTCAGCCAGATCAAGTCTTGCATTAATTCCGTCTTTAGTTTTTCCGGGTATGTGCAAAAGAGTACCGATAAGACTATCACACACATTTTTTTCCACATGCATCACATCGATACTGTGTCTTACATCAAGACTGCGCCAATATGGAAGATCAAAGAAAATAGACCTCTTCTTCCATATGTTTTTCTCAATTGCAGCTTTTTGAGTCTTACCGAAAATGACATTGATTCTTTCAACTCGCTGGTAAACTTCCTCTCCAGTTAATGCCTTCGGAGCCATGACATGCTCTGGTGAGCCATTAAAAACCTTTTTCAATCTCCGGTATGGGTGGAACCGATCAAGAAACCTCCTGTGACCGAGGTAAACTGTCTTCCTTCCGTGCTTAAGTTGGTGGAAGTATGTGTCTGCTTCACATATAGGACATGCTTTATGCCCCTTCACACTGTATCCTGATAGATATCCATATGCAGGAAAGTCATTTATCGTTGTAAAGATCATGGCACGCAACTTAAAGGACTCCTGCTTGTATGCATCAAACACATCCACGCCTTCTTCCCACAACATCTTCAAATCTTCAATTAAAGGTGCCAAGTAGATATCGATATTGTTTCCTGGTTGTTTCGGTCCTGAAATCATCATAAAAAGCATCATGTACTTACGCTTCATACATAACCAGGGAGGTAGGTTGTAAATCACCAACAGTACTGGCCATGCACTATGTGTGCTATTAAGAGTACCGTAAGGGTTGATTCCATCTGTACAAAGCCCAAGGCGAAGATTTCTTGGTTCAAGACCAAATTTCGGAAACATTTCATCTATTTTCTGCCATTGAGGAGAATCAGCAGGGTGCCGAAGATATCTTCCATCTGATATTCTCTCATCAAAATGCCATCTTAACTTCTTCGCTTCTGTTGCATTAGCAAATAAGCGCTTAAATCGTGGTATTATCGGAAGATACCATAACACCTTCAAAGGTTGCCCTTTACTTGTCTCGTCACCATCATAGTTACCAGCACAGTCCATGTTCTTTTTCACCTTGAATCGTGAAGTTTTACATTTTGGGCACTCACGTAGACCAGCATACTCTTTTCTATATAATACACAGTCATTAGGACAAGTGTGTATCTTTTCATAGCCCATACCCATCCGAGACAAGATTTTCTTTGCTTCATACACACGATTTGGAAGAACGTTATCAATTGGAAGCATATCACTAATCAATTGAAGCAACTCTGTGAAACTTTTGTCAGTCCACCCATTATTTGCTTTTAAACTGAACAATTTCAATACAGCTGTCAATCGTGTATACTTAGAACACCCAGGGTACAAAGGCATCTCTGCATCACTCTTCAAGTTATCATTTGCATGTGATTGCACAAAGAACTCTACCCCTACATCACGAATCATATCGCTCATTCTATCATTTACATCATCCATATCTTCCTCTTCTTCGAGTATTGAACTTGTTCCTACTTCACCATGCCATATCCATTTTGTATATCGGAGATTTATACCATCACAAAGCAGGTGATCTCTAATATCATCAACACTTAGTCGCCTCTCATTTAAACAATTGACACAGGGACAAAAATACATTCCGTTATTGCTACGAGCATTCTGTTTAGCAAATTCAATAAATCGTTCTACTCCGTTCTCATATTCATCACTTGTTCTCAAAGCATTCATCCAACTATGATCCATTCTGTTACTACCTAAGGAATTATAAACAATTTAATTCCATTCAGCACAGTCCCAATAAACATTAACCAAATTCAAAACTAATGATATCAATTGAATCCGATTCATTCCAATTACAACATAAATCATGCCAATTCCAAGCAAATGATTTCAAACTTCAAATCTATTACCCAATCAATGTAAACAAATTTTAACTTATCTAAATGCAATTTTTTCATTAATCATTTAATGTATACCCAATCCTTAATCTAAATTCAACACATATAGCAAACTATCTAATACAATCCCTCTTAGGCATTTTAACAAACACCTTGTATGCATTATTTTTCTAACAAGATTAACAAGGCTTGAAATCATTAAAATTTCTACCCAATCAATATATACAAATTTAAAACTATCTAAACACAATTCTTCAGCAAAAATTTAAACAGCAACCTCAGAAACCAATTCAAAACTCCTCAACCTACTCAAACCCACCGTACAACACACTAAAATGCAACGGTTGAATGAACTTACCTTCACCGTTCTGGCGTGCCTTCGAATCAACGGCCTACAGAGAGGACGACGACGGTGAGCTGCTGTGCATGTGAGCTTCACGGCTTCAACGGCGAGCTGCTACAACACGGCTACTGCAGAATGCGCGACGCAATGGAGGGAGTCCGGCTACGGCCTTGAAGAGCTGAAATCAGGGGGAGAGACCGAAACAAGTTGAAATAGCTCACGGCTACTTCACGGACAAGAGGAAAATGAGAGGGAGAGACCGATCGAAACTGAAAGTTGGGTGCGAGATAGCTGCGAGCTGGAGTTCTTCGATCGCGCACGGTACATATGCAAATCTGATAGATAACTACTGATGCGAGCTGCGCTGCGGGCAAATTTTTTTTTAAAAATGAAGCCCCTTCATGTTTGTTTACTTAGAAACAGACGTGAATTCACGTTTGTTTACTTAGACGGACGTGAATTCACGTCTGTTTTGGGTCAACAGACGTTAATTCACGTCTGTTTTGGGTAAACGGACGTGAATTCACGTCTGTTTTGTTTAAAACAGACATGAAGTCTCTTTTGTTTTGCAAAACAGACATAAAATAGGGAGGTAAATAACACATTTTGTTGTAGTGTGAGTTTTTAATGAAAACTTTCGTAGCAGATTTACACATTCACCCTTCAAGGCTTTAATTATTTGTGAATTACATAGCTTTTGTTTATTTATTTAACCGCGGTGGCATATTTCTTAGCATTTTTCATTAAATTAAAATATAATACATTAATATAATTATTTAATATGTCTATATAAATTTTATAAATAATTATTAGCAGCAACAGCTGGCGTTGAAAAATGTTATGAGAGTACACACGCACCATCAACACAAAAGTCATAGCAAGTTATACTATTATAATCCTTTTGAATAAAACATCACTCATTTCTTAATTTTCATGCTATATAATCACCATCAAAGGTTGAATAAAATTGACTGTCCTTTCATTTAATAATTCATTTGAAAAACTGGTTTTATTTCATTTCCTGCTTATGAGAATCTCCAAGTCCGTCCCCACCTCATAACTCTTTTTTCCTCCCCACCAACCGTCGCATTTACATTTAAAAATTCAGGTTAATATAATTTTTAATCTTCTAAATTTGTTTTTATTTTTATTTTGGTTTTTTAAATTTTAAACTATACATAGATTTTGATTTCTCAAGGAGTAAAAATGGCTTGAGATTTTATTAAATTAAAGGGACCTATATTTTAAATGAAAGAAAACTTGATGAACTAAAAATTATATTAACCCTAATAATTCATAAAAGAAAATAAATGAAATAAATGCACAACGCCAGGAAGAATATAGATTATCTCTTGTGGGAAGGAAAACGAACACATATTCTCTACTACTTTAATTTGAAGAGAGAGAGAGAGATATATATATATATATGTGTATAGTAGATTCTATTAATCAGCAAGAACATAATAACCATGCCATGTAACAGCAGCAAGCAAGCCAATTAGTGGCTTGATTATAATATCCATTACAGACGTAGGACATTACCAAAGTAAGAAAATAGGAATGAAGACAAAAAAAAAACGCGCACACACATATATATCGCTAATAAATTAATTACCTACTAGCTTCTTATTGTTCAGCGTCTTTTAGTGATCCGAACCTTGAGACCATATCTCATTTGAAGCAGTATTGAAAGTGCGGGAGAAACAGGATGATGTTCCACCACATGGATTTGATAATTACACAATATAGCTGTGGCCATTATCTTCATTTGAATGAAGGATAAGTCCTTACCCAAGCAAGTTCTTGGTCCTGCGGTGAAACTAATAAACTTATACGATGGAATATGAACGATGCCTCCTCTTTCTGAGATCCATCTTTCTGGTTTAAATTCCAAGCAATCTTTTCCCCATATGTCTTCACATCTTCCCATTGCGTACAAAGATATCATTACCACAGTTCTAGGGCCAACCTCATGTCCACTTGGAAGAATGTCGTGTTTGATTGCTTGCCTGCGTACAACAGGTAAAGGAGGATACAATCTCAAAGCTTCACACAAAGCACCATGGAGATATACTTGATCTTTCACTTCCTTTTTGTTCTGGATCTCTTGAAGAATCTTAGCCTCCACGTTAGGGTGCTTAGCAAGAAGCCAGAAGAACCATGTGAGAGTTGAAGTTATGGTATCTCTGCCTGCAACAAAAAGAACAAAAGCCGTGTCCCTCAGAAACTTGTCACCCACAGATTCTTTTCCTTCTTCATCCTTCATCAAAGTCGTTATCAAGTCATCATCCTCGTCCTCTGTGCTTATTACTTCTTTGTTTTGGCTGAGCTTTTCTCTCTTAGATGCTATGCTTTCACGGAGGAAATGGTCGAACGTTTGAAATGCCTCAGCTCTTTTCTTCACTGCTTCAATTCTAAGCCATCTCTGAAGCTTCCAAACGCTTTTAGGTAATATGTGTCTGTAGAATATAAACTCTCCAACTTCATTAAAAGCTCTCATGCACGCAACTTCTTGGAAATCAGGTGTGAGGCTTTTTGGGTCAAACCCTAAGACTATGGAGCAAATAGTGTCAAAGTTGAAGCGATTGAACACGTCTTGCACATCCACTTCAATCCCTTGCCTTTCCACATGGTCAAGAAGGGGAATGAGACAGCTTTCCACTTTCTTCCGAACGATCTTCTCCCGAAACTTCTCGAATCTTCTGGTTTTAAACGATGAATGGAGAATTGTTCTCTGGTATTTCCACATGTCTGAATCTGCTGTCAAAATCCCATCTCCAAAAGCTTTGAAAATCTTTCGGAACTCGGGCCCCTTCACAAAGTTGATGAAATTCTTGCTGAACATATAATGTACGTTCATGGGATCGCAAGTAACCACACAGTTCATTTGCGTAAACCAGGGTCCAATAAAGTTTCCAGTGCCTGCTTGTTTTTGCAGAGCCAAAGCTACATAGTCATGGACCTTCCACAAATTACAGAGAAGTGGTGGTAACATGCCTAGAAGAGGCCACTCTATTAAGAGGGGGTCTCTGCAATATCGTTTACAGTGGCAATAATAAAGGAAGAAGAAGAGTACTGCAAAACCTGCAACTGTTAGTGCAAGATGGAACATTGTTTGCAGGACTGGGCTTTCCATGCATGTGGAAGTATTGTGCGCGCGCGGTAGAATTATATATATAGCCGATAATTGAAACTTAAAAGCTTACATGTACGGTTCTCTTGAAGTTCGTATAGTTTGCTGATATTTAAATACTTGTATTTATTATATTACGTGTCTAGTATTTTTCTCTCTCTATAATATCTAAAATTAATTCGACATGATAATATGTCCGTACTTGTTTTGATTTTGAATTCTATAGTAAACTATGTGTTTGATTGATGCAATTTTGAATTTTAATTTGATTTATATTGATGCTAACATTCCTCTGTTTACTCTCTGTTTATGCATAATTTTTGTTCTTTAAAATAGCAAAAAAACAACCTCTGCATTAAACTATATATAATAATAAAAGAACATTTAAATACAGTATGGCAGAAAGTCAATATTATAATTTTATAATATCCAAAATCCAGACGCATTCAACCAACTCCAATATTTCAAAATATACACGTATCCATTCAACCAAAATTCGAATATATGTAACTGTAATACATGACTGTGAAGATATTTTGATTTTTCAAAACATTTAGAAACCATGATACAAAAAAAGGGGGGTCTTTAACAGCATATTTAGCCAAGAACAAATAGGGTTTTAATTTGGTGAAATTCTTCCCGTGGATGCATTTAAAGATGCAGATAACAGGAAATATGAATCTTAGATTATTTCCTTATTTCCACTCTTCATTTTAGATACACCAGGACTACATGAAAGGAGATTATCATATGCTCTATTTTTTGAGTATTAGATTTCTTTTTTTATAAACGGGCGTGTGTTATAAAATTAAAATAATTATTAATTTATTTAGGGCAGTCACTCGAGTCTTGATTCTAAAATATGAGTGTCCCAACGCAATTAAGAAGCTGTCGTCTCTCATCACTCATTGCCCCTCTTGCTAAAAAGTCCGTCGATACGACGATCTGAGACAACCCAGAAGAAGAAATGAGACGATGGCTTTGGTTCTAGCCTCAATCCTTCACTCATCATCGTTACGCACCAAAACCTTTCTCTCAAAATATTTTCAGTATTAATTATTAAAGTAACGTTAACTAATTATAATTATTTTTTATTTTATTTTTAATTATTTACTTTTTCCTTCTGATTTCGTCCTTAAACACGTACAAGTGCGTGTGGTGGGCGTAACAAGACAAATAATTTTGGATCAATGGGGATTATTAATATAATTAAATGTGCAGATCGAACATAATTTTCATCAAGTTAAACCAGAGAAACGTGCAACAGCCCTTATTCATTTTTCTTTTTGCCCTCGCTTTCCCTATATATAATTCAAATCTATTACTCTTCTGGCCCTATTTATAAGTCACTTTTAATATATTTCATACAGATCAAGAAAAACTTTAAACTTCATTAACTCTCATTTAAAATTCAATAATTTTTCAACTATTTAATATACATTATGCCTCATGTAAACAAAGTCAACACAATAATAAAGAAAGGGTAAAATTGTATATTTATAAAAAATTGCTTTTAGTGCCTTATAAATATGACAAAAAAATATCTTCTCTCTCTGCTTTATAAATAAGATCAGAGCGTTACTTTGAAATTTAAATTAATTTCTATCAAGACCAGAGCGTTAGGTTAAAACTTTCTCAATAAGTATGCTTTTCAAAATTTAAACTTGTGTTCTCCTTTTTATATGGTGAAAAAGCTTATCATCTTAACTAATAGTTTGTTGGGTGGTTAAATAAAATTTATTAGTAGACTTTCAAATATTGGCGTTGGGTTAGGGGGATATTGTGAAATGTAAGTTAAATGTGGTTCTTAAAGTAGGACGCACGCAATTAATAAAACGAAAGAAATGTGCATCAGCTTTTTTCTATAAAAACACAAATTCATCCATATAAAAAGACAGATATTTTCTCATTCAATTTAATGAGAATTGCAATAGAGTCTCATAAAAAATAACTATTAAAAAGTCCCAATAACAAGTGAATAGTTGTTATTTTCTATTATAAAATTTGACATTACAAGCTGCTCAATTATTATTATTGAGATTTTATAGTAATTATATTTCTTAATTGGCATTTTATTAAAATTCTCCCTTCAATTTGTGTACATCTGGTCAGTGGGCCATTGTACATAAGGCGATATGCCCTAAAATCCGATCCCTCTTTCCCATTGTCATAATCCTCCCCATATCTTTACGGAACTAACCAAATTTTTATCTGATATATGTAAAAGCACAAAATTATTGTTGCGCGGGCTCATTGTGTGTGTGTGTGTGTGGGCCGTGGGCTCATTATCACCATGAATATATGCTTTTTGTGGCGACATTAGCGAGGAATTAGAAAATTCTTTCTTGACGTAAATGTAACTCCTAATTAATGTTGAAAAGTACGTACACAAATCAAGGAGTACCAAAATCTATATATTATGTAACAGTTAGTTTTTTCTTTCTTGTTTTACTCTTTATTTAATGTCACAATATTTATTTAAACTTCAACTGCTTAGAAATAAGTATTAGTTATATCTAGAAATCTGTAGTGGGACATATATTTAGAGACAAAAGAAAGGTAAAAACTAGGACGTATATTTTTGTTGAAGGAGTAATTAAGTGCTTTATTTTAATGTTGGTTATTTTAAATTTTTGTCAGTTTAATTGATAGGAAGGAAATATCATAAATTTCACCGATCGAGGTAGTCTCTGAGAATATATATGGCAGAAATATTGTGCCATTTATCATATATTAGATGGAGCACGAACATGTAGTAAAACTTAAAATTTCGATTTAATTTATAATGCAATTACAGCCTTATATTACCTCCATCATCATGCTATTATTTGTGCTGGAAGGTCTTCACAAGAAACAGACAAATAGAAGTAAGAAAAACTAGGTTACAGCAAACCAATCTTAATAAGCTAAGCCAATCCCTTACAATAGCATTCAAATCCCTAAAGGGGGAAAAATTGGCTAAAGGTAAATTAGGAGAAACCACCATCCTATATAACGAACACAACTTGTAGCATCATCACATTGCAAGCCAGTCAGCAACTTGAACATTGTGCTTTATTTATTAATCTAATACAGGTACAAACAAAACCAAATTGCTTCGAGGCTTCTGCAACTTCAAACAACACACACACACTCACACACTTCCGTGTAACCTTCTTCCTGCAGTTAATCAACCTCGTTTTGTGATTCAAACTTTGAGACCATACTTCATCTGAAGCACTATCGAAAGCGTAGGAGAAACAGGATGATCTTCCACCACATGGACATGATAATTTGACAAGATAGCCGTAGCCATTACTTCATTTGAATGAAGGACATGTCGTTACCTAAGCAAGTCCTGGGTCCTGCAACGAAACTAATGAACTTGTACGAGGGCACGTGAATTATGTCTCCTCTTTCAGAGATCCATCTCTCGGGCTTGAAATCCAAGCAGTCTTTTCCCCATATCTCTTCACACCTTCCCATTGCATATAAAGACAATATTATCACAGTGCGGGGATCAACCAGCTCGTGTCGGCTAGGAAGCATGTCGTGTTTGATTGCTTGCCTACGCACGTAAGGTATGGGACGATATCGTCTTAAAACTTCGCACAAAGCAGCATGGAGATATACTTGGTCTTTCACTTCCTTTATTTGCTTAATCTCTTGAACAATCTTAGCTTCAACTGAAGGATGTGCAGCAACAAGCCAAAAGAACCATGTTAGGGCTGAAGTTATGGTGCTTCTTCCTGCGGAAAAAATCCAAAACCAGTGTCCCTCAAAAACTTGTCATTGATGTGTTCTCCTTCCTTCATGCACAAACTCAGCATGTCAAGAAAGATGAATAGCTAACGTAATATTTTAGGGTTGAAGTCGTGTATTATTCATTGATAATGAGATGAATATATAGCCATGTACATGTTCTGTTGCGATAGCTACCTGATACGATAGAGCAAGTGGAAGGCCAAGTTTAGGTAGGAGAGAAGTAACCCAGTTGATCTCAGCTGCAGTGTTGGCAAGGGCCCTATACTCAGATTCGGTGCTTGAACGAGCTACAACATGTTGTTTCTTTGATGACCATGAGACAAGGGCACCAACAAGATAGACACAGTAACCCAAGACAGATCTACGATCCATGGGGCGTGCAACCCAATTAACATTAGAATAAGCAAAAAGACAAAGGGATCAAACTGGTCTGATTAGAATGCCATACATAATTGTGCTTTTAAGATATCGAAGGATTCATTTGACTCGCTGCCAATGAGCAAAAGTTGGCTTGGATAAGAACTGGCTAAGCTAATTAACAACGTATGAAATGTCAAGCCTCATGTTAGTGAGATATGGGAGAGCTCCAACGGCAGAGCAAAATTTAGTTGGGTCACTCAACATATCTCCCTCATCGGCAGGGAGTAACGTCCTAGATGCCATAGGAGTAGAGCATGGCGCTGCATAAAGCATGTTGAACTTTCTTAGGATATCAGTAATGTACTTTGCCTTAGTTGAATGAGGATAGTTCCTTAGGCTTCATCCTTTATTGAACGAGAATAGTATACAATCTCAATTCTCTTGTCCGTATACCTCTCTACAAACTAGCAGAGCAAAACAGAAACACTGTCACATAGTTGAGCTGGGTCTCACACTACTAGCTTAAGCACACATGCCGCTACGATGTTGGCAGGAATCTTTTCATACTGTTGTTCACTTAATTAACATATTCCCAACTCCTGTTCTTATGGGCAAATCTCCCTTCCAGATCCTATATATATAAAAAGGCTCCTGACTACACAAGCCTTAAAGCTTTTGGGTGTGCATGTTATCCTTGTTTCAAGCCTTATGATCAACACAAGCTTCAATTTTACACTTCTCATTGCGTGTTTCTTGGG